AGTGTTTCAGTCTGACCTTGACGTGATTGTAGCTTCTATTCTTGCTTCCCTAGGCCTTCCACATAACATCCAGGCCTGCAGATGGACGCGGAAGGGTTTGGCGAGCTGCTGCAGCAGGCAGAGCAGCTGGCAGCCGAGACGGAAGGCATCGCGGAGCTTCCTCACGTCGAACGCAATCTCCAGGAGATCCAACAGGCTGGGGAGCGCCTGCGTTCCCGGACCCTGACCCGCACCTCCCAAGAAACAGCAGACGTCAAGGCGTAAGTCCCCGGGTTGCTTAAAACCTCTGGCCGGGGGCTGCTAGGGTTGCGTCGCTGGAGAGGAGGAAAGCTTGGTGAAGGGTTTCAAACTCGAGGCCCAGGGGTCGGATCTGGCCCTCAGGGTGCTTAAGATCTGGTTGCCCTGGAAACAGTGAAGGACTGGCCCGCGGTGCCTCTGCCAGCAAAAACGGAGCTCAGGAGGGCCGCTGAGCTCCATTTTTGCTGGCAGAGGGTTGCAGCGGAAAACAGAGGTCGGGAGCCCATTTTCGCTGGCAGAGCACTCGGGCTGCCACTGGTGCCCCCAACATGAGTGATGTTGAGCTGGCTACACCCACCTTGGCCCACCCTGGTCATGCCCCCCCGCAGCCCCCCTCCCAAGGTCAAACACAACCCTGATGTGACTCTCAATGGTCTAGGACAATTCATCACGGCTAACTCGCTGTGGGACAACATGACGTTAACAGATTAACAGTGTTGGAAGGGACCTTGTAGGTCATCCAGTCTAACCCTGCCCTCCAAGCAGGAGAGTGAACAATTGTCTTGCACGGGCAATTCCATGCAGGATAACTCAATGTGATCCATGTTATCCACCCTTCTTCTTTGACATTATTTCCATTGACAAAACTGACTGAGTGGTACAGCTGACACCCCATCCTTCTCTTTGATATACTTCACCCCCTCAGCTACGATTTAGCCTCCAGGTCTCTTATCACCTTTGCTAGTGTTCTCGGTATGCTTTCTAGGATCTAGAAAGGTGACCAGAGTTGGACATGGTATTCCAAGTGTGGTCTCACTAAGTGTGACTATCACTAAGTGTTGTATCCAATGTTTTATGATGAATGTATTTTTACGATGACTGTGATAATGATCAATTGTTGTATGTACACTGAGAGCTTTTAGGCACTGGAGACAAATCCCTTGTGTGTCTAATCTCACTTGGCCAATAAAGAATTCTAATTCTACAAATAGAATGGGTCCTGCCCCAAAGCAAAAAAATATTGGAACAAAATAAGGAAATGGTTGCAGGACATTACCAGTCTCCAAATAGAACTTAAGCCTGAAATGTTTCTTTAAGGTATAATTAGAGTATTTAAGAAAGAAATTAAATATAATACATGTACTGACAGCGGCAAGAATTACTTATGCACCGAGTTGGAAACTGGATAGTATTCCTACTGATAGTATGATAATAAAGAAAATAATGGATTGTGCAGAAATGTTCAAACATTGGAATTGCAAGATAAAGAAGATATGGAATATTATATGGTCAGGGAGAAATGGTACAATTGGTTAGATTGTTGGAATAAAAAATAATGTATATATGTATATATGTATATTGACCCAAATGGAAAAGTTGATATCACAACACTGCGAAGATTGTATACGAGTTGTTTTTAAATGTGGAAAAAATTAATAAAAATTATTTAAAAAAAACAATTCTAATTCTTCTAACCAGTGTGATACAAAGTGGTGCTATCACTTCTTGTTGTGACTACCATACGATTCGCTAAAGTGGTTTGCTTAGCAACCATGGCAAAAAAAAAAAAAGGTTGCAAAATCGGGTGTGTGACTTAACAGCCCACCTAGCTTAACAACAGAAATTCTGGTCCCAGTTATGGTTGTAAGTCAAGGATTACCTGTATATATTTTGCAATTCAATCATTCATTCTTTCTATCTGACCAAACTACCTCAGTGTACTTCTTTCATTCATTTTTGCATTCCATCCATCACCCATCCATCTCTTCTGGTCTTACCACACCTATTTCCTAAGCACAGGTAGTCCTCGACTTCCAACAGTTCATTTAGTAACCGTTCAAAGTCATAACAGCACTGAAAAAAAATGACTTATCACTGTTTGACAGCTAGTTATATCTATAGCGGTTGTAATGTCCCTGGGTCACTTTTACGACTGTCCGACGAGCAAAGTCAACAACCATGTTACAAACTTAACCACTGTAATAGTTCACTTAATAACTGTGGCAAGAAGGTCGTAAAATGGGAAACTCACTTAACAAACAAACTTCGCAATTTTGGGCTCAATTGTGGTCGTAACTCAAGAATTACCTGTGTACCATTTCTGCTGTGTTCAACTTTTATTTTCCCCGCCGCTGTCATTCCCAACTCTCACTTCTACATCATCTTCACTATTTATCTCAGTTTATATCCTTTCTGCCTGGTTGGCATTCATTGGCGAAAGAGCAACAAATTTCTCTTGGGAATTTCCTGGAAGTTCTCTCCTGATTGAAATCATTTCTAAAGCAGATTTTCTTTCATCAGACCGAATGAGAATCAGTAGAAGAAAAATGCCAAAAGAGAATGGCTGTTGAAACATTGACAGCCATGGTTGTGTCAGACTCAAATGTCACATTTTGGGGAACCTGTGCAGGCCGTCAATCACCAGATGTTGAAAAATATTTTAGAAGACTTATCCATGCTTTTCTCTGACCTGAGGGTTTTGTTGCTTAAGTGGTCCTGCAAGCAAAAGTTGTTTATTGAAATATTTATTTCAATCCAAGTTTTATAGAAGTCCCAAGATCAAAAACTAGTACGGATCATTTTTCTACTTAGGACCACAATTGGGGCCAGAGTTTTGGTTGCTAAGCCAAGCAGTTGTTAAGTCAGCCACACCCAATTTTTCCACTTTTTTTTTTGCCAAGGTTGTTAAGTTAATCTCTACAATTGTTAAACGATAACATCCAGTTGTTAAAGTTAATCTGACTTCACGCGATTGATTCGGCTTGTTGGAAGCTGGCTGGGAAGGTCGCAAATATGATCACATGGCTCCGGGATGCTGCAGTGCCATCCTAAATACATGTGCCTCAGTTTTGATCGTGTGACCATGGGGATGCGACAGCAGTCGTAAATATGAGGACCGGTGTTATTATGCCATTATAACTTCGCATGTTTGTAAGTCAAGGACTACTCCCATTATGCTAATCGGGCCTCTGGATTTAAATTTTGCTTTGGGAGGAATGACTCTGTTGCCTTGTTTTATTATCTCTGTGCCTTTCATCCTTTGTTTTGTTTTTATCTGTCTTCTAGATCAGTTCTTCTTGGATCCAGAGGGCTCGATATATCCCACATATCTCAGCGCTTGGAGAGCTTGAGCGCTGCCACAACATTCGAACCTTTAGAGCCTGTAAAAGACACAGATATACAGGTCAGGGCCATATGCAACAAAAGTATGTTCTCTTAATCAAAGAAACGCATGTATTTTGCAATGCTTTACGTGCGGATGCCCCAGTATATATGCACATTTTCTTGTCCAGAGAAAGGCTGCCAGGGATGGGGAGAATTTGCTTATTTGCTCAAGAGGAAAAGCTTGCGTTCTGCATTTAATGCTTAAGTGTTTTGATATTTCAGTTACTGGCATCCTCTTTGTGCAGATCATTGTTTTCAGCGGAGGCACCGTTGAAAGGCTTGTTTACTTATTGAAAGAGCTGGTGTACATTCGAAGGACAGCACTGCAGCAATCTCAATTTATAGAGGGTAGACTTTCTGTGTTTACTTTTTGGGTTTCTTCTAGCCGAATCTTTAAGGGGAGGGCTGTAACTCAGTAATAAACTGCACGTCCTTATAATGCATTCCAAGTTTGATCCCAGAATTCTGCCAGAATTTACTGGGTTTCTGCAGTCAGAATTCTGCTGCCGTTCAGCAACCGGCTTCCGGCTCTTGTGCTTTGTAATGTACAAGTTATGGGTGTGTGTGTGTGTTATTGTATGGTGCAACGATCCCCTCCCTTCTGAACCCGACGGACAATTGATTTAAGGCAGTACTTTATATTGCTTTGTTCTGCTGTGGCAATCAGGGTTCCTCTCCCCAAATTTTAGCGTAACACCCGAGTGTTTCAGAGACTGAATTTTCAATATGATTCAACCACAACCCGTTCTTGCTTGTGACATTATCTTCCTTGCTTTGCTGATTCTGAGGTCCCCTCCCCTTTTCTGTCTGTCTCAGTGCTGTATAATGATAGGTGAGATGGTTTTATCAGTTGGTATCCTTTCACCTTGTTAATGGAAGATGAGCGGTATTATATCCCGGGCATCCTTGTTTATATTTTGTTTTTCTACATATCAGCAGCGCAAACCCTTGTTTTTAAAAATCGATATGATCGCATTACATGTAGTCCTCCACTTACGAACCCAGTGGAGCCCCGGTTTTTTTTTTGTTGCTAAGCGAGAGATTTGTTAAGCGAGCTTCGGCCCCATTTTACGGCTTTTCTCGCCATAGTTGTTAAGTGAATCACCACAGTTCTTAAGTTAATAACATGGCTCTTAGGTGAATCTGGCTTCCCCATTGGCATTTTGTCGGAAGGTCACAAAACGGGATTTTGTGTGACTCCAGGACATTGCAGCCATCGTAAATACGAGTCAGGCGGAAATTTGATCATGTGACCGTGGGAATGTTGCAACGGTTGTAAGTGTGAAAAACCTACGACCGTAAGTCATAAGTCAACTTTTTTCAGTGGCCTTGTAACTTTAAACGGTCACTAAATGAACTGTTGTAAGTCGAGGACCATCTGTATATCTTTCTCAATGGATTTATTTTCACCTTCAGTTGTATTTAGAGTTTCCATATTCTCCTCCTCCTCCTCCTCCTCCTCCTCCTCTTCTTCTTATTATTATTAGACACAAAAAACAACAGTGTACACAGCAAACGAGATAACTATGCCGGGTTTTGTATCACAAATCACTAGTCGAACCCTTCCCAAGCGTTTAGGACTGCGTGATGTATCGGCGGATTATGTGAGCAGATCCCAATAAGGCGGCCTTCTGCAGCTGACCAATGGTGATCTTGTCAGTGCCAATTGTTTTCAAGTGCTTGCCTAGGTGTGCCAAATACCAGTGGAACCACCTGCACTGGCTTATGCCAGAGTCTCTGCAGTTCGATTCTCAAGTCCTGATATCTGGTGATTTTTTCAAGTTGTTTCTCGTCGATTCTGCTGCCACCAGGTATGACAATGTCGACGATCCACACTTTTTTCTTCTCCACAATCTTGATATCTGGGGTATTGCGTTCCAAAACTTTGTCAGTCTGTTTTCGGTAGTCCACAGTAGTTTTGCATGCTCATTTTCGACCACTTTCTCAGGCTTATGATCCCACCAGTTCTTTGCTACAAGCAGATGGTAGTTGTGACACAAGTTCCAGTGGACCATCTGAGCGACTGTGTTGTGACGTTGTTTGTAGTCAGTCTATTGTCTTGCAACAGCTCAGTATGTGATCAATGGTTTCATCCGCTTCTTTGCAGAGTCTGCATTTGGGGTCATCAGCAGATTTTTCTATTCTGGCTTTCATTATTAATTAAATAATTTATTATTATTATTATTATTATTATTATTTTATTATTATTATTATTATTATTATTATTATTGCCCTATAGGCCATATCAACATAAAAGGTTCAAACACGTATTACCAGTAAAATTTAAGAGTTTCTACATTCTAGGAACCGACAAAATTTTTGATGGGTTTCTGAGAGCCTGAACTTTTAGCTCTGCAGGCTGCCATTTCTGTATTTTTGCTATTAGAACAAGAATTGGAACCCGCAGATAATACCTAGGTGTTCTTTTTCAACCTCAATGCTCTTTGTTAATAATTAGCGGGGCGTCTTTTTCTCCGAAACGGCTATTTAAGCTTTAGATTTTAGTGCTGATGAAGGGGCCATGCCAATTTGACGTCTTAATTTGGTGAATTATTTAGTGGTAATAACACTTAGGTGATTGATAGAATAAGAGGAAAATAATGCGGAGATGTCTCCCTTCGGACCTCGTAATTGATTCTGGGCCTGGAGTGGGCAATTCCCCTTATGTTTGGGGAAAAAAAGAGAATAATGCCTTATTATATCAGATGAGGGACCCATCCCATCCTCAGCAGACAGACTTCTGGGGGAGTTGCAAGGAAGGTAGGGGACAGAACCGCCCCCGTTGAGGTCTCTCTAAGGAAGCACAAGGATGGACATTTCTGAGAGGTCCTTCGGGGGTTTGGTGAGCATATGTAGCATCCTCTCATAAAATGGCTGCTGCGGCAGACAATATTATTTCATTTATTTCAGAAGACCAGATTGGTTTCTACTCTCTCTCTCTCTCTCTTTCCTCGGTGCCCTTTAGATGTTCCCTCTTCCACCCTTGGCAGCTGAGCTCTGGCTTTTTTGTCCTCCCAGGCAGAAATACTTACAAAAAGCTGGAACCAAACCCCTTCATCCTTTTTAAAAAACAAACAAACAAACAAACTTTATTGATTATACAACTAAAATGTCAAACAATTACATACACAACACACAGAAAGAAAAAGAAAAAGAAAAGAAAAACAATGAAAAAAAACTAGCAATTTGTCCTTTTTAAAAGTTCCTTAAGGACTCTGATAGGATTTGGTAAAGAATGATATTGCAGGTAGTCTTTCGCGGACGACGGCAAATTGAGCCCCAAATTTTCGTCGCTAAGCAAGACCATCATTAACTCACCGGCTTCAAGGTTGACTCGGCCTTCCATCCTTCGGTAAAACGAGGACCCAGATGGTTTGGGCGCAAAAGGCTTAAACTGCTTAGAAAGGGCTGGGAAGCCGTTGTAGAAGTCTTCAGTGCTATTGCTAACTGAGTCGTGCCTCATTTTTATGACTGTTTGGACACCGTTGTTAAGTGAATCACTGCAGTTAAGGTGGTAACGCGGTGGTTACGCCAACCGGGGTTCTCCATTGATGGCTTGCCAGTTACGATGATGCTGAAAAGCAGTGCCTTACGACTTTATTTCCACACTTAATGGCCATCGCAGCATTCCCCATTGGCCATGTGATCAGAATTCAGGCCCCTTGGCAAAAATGGCTGATACTTATGACAGTTGCAGTGTCCTGGGGTCATGTGATGAGCTTTTGACACGCAAAACGAACAGGGAAGCCAAGTTCACTTAACAACCGTGTTACTGACTTAAAACCTGCAGTGATTCGCTTAACGATGATGGCAAAGAAAGGTTGTACAATGGGGCAAAATTCACTTTAACGGTCTCGTTTCGCCACATACATTTTGAGCTCTACTCTGATCATAAAGTGAGGACTACCTCTCCTTTTTTTTAAAAACAGTACAGGTAGTCCTCGACTTATGACTTACAGTTGAGCCCAACGTTTCTGTTGTTAAATGAGACATTTGTTCAAATGAGTTTTGCCCCGTTGTACGGCCTTCCTTTGCCACCGTCGTTATGCGAATCACTGCTTTTGATAAGTTAGCAACACGGTTGTTAAGTGAAACCGGCTTCCCTGTTGACTTTGCTTATCAGAAGGTCGCAAAAGGGGATCATTGCAGCCATCGTAGATATGAGTCAGTTGCCAAGCTTTGGAACTTTGTTCATGTGACCTGAAACGGTCATAAGTGTGAAAAACGGCCACAAGTCACATTTTCAGTGTCGCAGTAACTTTGGTCACTAAACGAACTGTTGTAAGTCGAGGACTACCTGTACATCTGTTCTTTTTTAATTTTTAATTCTCTACAGTCTCATAATGTAGGGAACCCAGGATAATGCAAATAAAACCCAATGTTTTTTTCCCCAGAGATATTCCAGTCCTTTGAGTGCTCTGAATTCTGTTTTAAAAAGGCTTCTTAAACAAAACAATGGGGAGAAACAGCTGAGAGCCGAAACAAGTTTTTTCATATTTCAACTTTGAAGCATCTTGCTTGCTCCTCCTTCTCCTGATGCTTCTGGACCTCCAGCGTTAATGAGGAAGAATGCAGTAATGATTAATGAAGAAAAATACTGCAGTTGTTGGCTGCATATTATCTCTTAGCCTTTCCACAGTAATTGGTTTTTGCCTGCTTTGGGTTTCATGCACCGGCTAAGGGAGTACATTAAGTATTTTTTGTTGTGTGCGTTGTATCTGAGATCCATTTTGCTCTGGTGGATTGGTACAAGATGTTGGATAGCAACTAGCGGCGGGCTAGGCTGAAAGACGCTTCCATCACTTTGTGCCGATTGGCCTAGGGCAGTTTTGTAGTGTGTTCCCCGGTGATAGATCTGATTTGGCTATTACTAGGATTCTTAGCCCAACTACCGGATGAAGCCTAAAGCTGCCCCAGAACCATGGGATTTGTAGTGTAAACCAGGGGTCGCCAACCTTTTGGACCTCAGGGACCACCAAACTCATAATTTTAAATCCCGCGGACCAGAGACCCTGGGAAAATCCCCCAAAAAAGTCTGCAGGAAAATTTCCCACCCCATTTTCCCACTGATCAATCATTCTTTATTTGGGATCGCAGGACATTATCTCCAGCTCCGTTCTCAGGGGGAGAGAGAGAGAGACTTTTGACTTCATGCAAGGAAACTCTTGCAACCTCTTGGATGCCTTGTAGCATCCCAAAGACTCATTTCTGGCGGAGTTTGGGGGAGAGAAAGAAAGACTTTTGCTGCTTTCCTTGCGTGCAGCCAAAAGCAGAAGAAGAAAGAAACGGAAAGAAGCAGCCCAGTGGCCAGGCCAGGCACGTGGGGTGAGTGGGGCAAGTTCCCCCCTCCGCCCTTTCCCCCCTCCCCTCATTACCTCGTGTTGTTCACAAAGCAAG